CTGTTTCTTTTTCATCAAGATTTGAGAAATATTGTTCTTTCYAGAGAGATCTAGAAAGAATAGAGGTTCTCATTTTTTTTCAAAATGGCTGCTATCTCTGTCTTTCTCAGATAGCAGGTTGCAGTGATATTAATGTGATATTAGAGATGTCTTTCTTAAAAATGACTCTCTTTTTCCCCATTGCTACCACAGAGACTGAAGTTAAGCTCGTATCAGACAAAATAAGTTTCCTGACAACATAAGAAATCACCATCTCAATTGCTATCATCTAGGTGTTYCTACATGAAGGCAAATACTATATTATTCTGTGTCTGCATACAGATAATCTTTCAGTGGTAGTGATGAGAATCACAGAAGCTCAGCAGGGGAAAACAGGTGTGTGTAGCTGATACAGGGATGTGGGAAAAGCGGGGAGGAAAGGCTGGTGTGTTCTTGTTTGCATGTGTGAACGTACGCCTGTGGAGGACAGATTAGGAGAGACTCAAAATGCTGAGTCTGACCTTGTCACTTGAGTTGATTAAAGCTATTCCAGAAGATATCCATAGAATATGATGAACCTAACCCTAAAAGTTACAACAAAAAGAAAATAGTGTGCAAGTTAGACACTCTGTGTTTTCAATTCTTTGGAATAATAATATGATAGTTTAGCTCCTGGATGATTTCAATTTTGTATCATTTTAAATCCATGTCATAATTAAAAAGGGGACATTTTCACACAGGCTATTTTCAAACTGAAGTGGGTTAAAGTGTAGTTAGAACTGAGAATATGTATAATCAAAACAGAACCTGGGAAATGGTCATTATTTGTAACATGGGTGTTAGCAACTCTAAAATTTAAGAACTAAGGATGAAACATAAGCCAAATGTAAGAGCTAGGCATATGACAAAAAGGCACCCAACCAAACTTCTGCATGATAGTGAGCTCACCAAAAAAAAAAAGGTAATTTGAATGGCATGTTAACAAAGGGAAAATCGTAATGTTTTATTTTTAAATATTCGTTGAATTTTTTTTTTTGCAAAATTCCAGTGGAGTCAGTGGTGGAGGAATATTCAGTTCCTCCTGCTACATGCACTGTTACAGCTCCTTTGAACTATCAAGCTAGGCCAACTGTGCAATTATTTTTTGGCTGAATATCTATGGTTGCTTGATGTAGCAAATTAAACTACATAGGATAGTTTGCATTGACTTTGAAACCAYGCTGACTGCAACTGAACAGGGAGGTATGGAGATTCTTGAGAGCTTTAGAAAAAGYAGTATACTGACTCTGTCATTTAACCATGCTGGGTTAAAAGAAAAGAAAAAAAATGGAAAAAAAGAAAAAAAAAAAGAAAAGAAAAAAAGGGAAAAAAATTAAGTTGAATTAGTGAAGTGTGCACAGCACGTCATGATCATGCACATGTAATTATATTGTTCCCAAACTCCCAGTCCTTGAATTCTCATTTCTCTTTCACCTTGGGGGCACTGTGCATTTTTGTTATTTCATGTGCAAGGACCATTCCTCATGCTGAAATTAATTTTGTCTGCTCTTGCAGGGGTAACAGGTCTGGAATAATCAAATGGGAGGCCCCGGTCCGGGAGAGCCTAGTGAGTCTGTGTGTCCCGTGGGAAGCAGGCGGCATCTGCCCGGAAAGCGCAGCTGCCTCCGCCACAGCGAGCAGCGGCTCTTCCCTTTCACAGGGTATTGAATAAGCCCCTGTAAGGGCTGGAAAGCCAGGCTTGGAAGGGCAGATTCCTCAACTCTTTTTTTAAACCGCAAAATATTAGGCCAAAGTCATTTTTGTTTTATCCAAGCCAGTGGGCAGCATCTCTCTTACGTACCTACGTACCTAGTGTGGTGCCTAACGTTRCTTGAATCAAAGCAAAACACATTAGCCCAAAAGCAAGATCAGCTAAGCTGGTCTAGCATGAAAGGGTAGCCAAAGCATCAGTCCCACTTCCACCACTCCTTGGATCCAGCACTTATGCACTTGCAGAGTGAGTCATTTCATCTTTTGATCTGATAGGAAATTGATCTTTATTCTCTGCCAGTTGAACCGAGTTGTGGGCAGCTGCACAGCCATCAGATTTCGCACAAGGAAAATGGCAAGAGCTTGAAACTGGTCTTGAAGGCTCAAGGACAAGGAGAGGAGGACTGCTGCTTTAGCAACTGTTTGTTCTTAAACCCAGCATAAAGATATCAAGTGCAAAATAAATGGACAAGTTAATTGTGAAATTGTTGCTGAACTCTGATCTTGTATGGGAAAATATCTCCATATCAGAATATAATAGTAATAAGGTGGACTTTGCTGCAGTATGGTCCTGTGTTAAACAGGAGCTTGCCTAGAGGTGGTTCTGTAACTTTTGTCAGCCTATATTTGGACAGGTGGGGTACCCCAATTTGTCACACAGGGGAATATTGCCTGCAAACTTATGAGTGGAAATGCTGATTTGCTGAAGTTAAAATGCTTAGGTAAGTGCATTGATTATTGTCAAAAACTTTCTATTACAAAGGAAAAATTGTGCTTGGAAAAGGTCAAAACATTTTTCCTTTGACTTAATCATTTTGATTTTTATAAGCTGTAACAGAATGTCTCATCATATAAGTGACAGTGCTCTGGAAAAGTTAAAACAATGAAGTACAAATAATCCCCTTTGATTTTACTGTGACAAAGTAATTGACTGCCAGAGTGTTTTTTTTTTTTTTTTTTTTTTTTTTTG